GAAGATAGAAATGTTCGTCGGAAGGAAAAGAAAAGAAGTAGACATCGCAGAGCAAAAGAGGAACGAAGGAAAGAAGAGGAAAGATGCAGGAAGTTGGAGCAAGAGAGAATGGAGGCTTTGGAAGAAGATGCGAGGAAGAAAGAGGAGGAAAAAGATGGACAAAAGTCAAGACGAAAAAAAGAAGAATTTGTTAGAAAACGGGTTGACAAAGAAGAGATACCAGGGGAGGAAAGTAGCTCAATGCGGAAAATAAAGGAGGAGGAACAAGTTAAGGAAGATCGCAGAAGAAGAAGGGAACAAAAGAAGAAACGCAAAGAATTGTCAAGTAAACAGGAGGAAGATGGAAGCGATTACGACGAAACCTCACAAAAAGTTAGAAAAGCACCAGAAGAGCAATCAGGTTCCCCAGATAGCAGCAGGTAATCAGTAATACCTTCGAAAAGGTAAAGGCACTAAATGTTCACAATATCCACATAGTAAATACTCTTTACCTTCTGGTGTTTATTCCAGAGCTTTTCCTGTCAAAAAGCATCCAACTTTCAAAAAACCCGAGTCAAGGAGGTCAGTAGTTCGTTTGTGCAATTTTATATTTCTAAAAAATTAACATCATTCAGAGATTCAACATCAGAAATGTCAAAAGGGTCACAAAAGAAATCTAGGCGAAAGGAGTGGGTTCTCTGGGTTATAATTACACAGAATTTCAAGTTAACTATTGCAGAAAACAAGCAATATCAGACTTTTCTTCTTCCGTTAGTCGTGGACTGGTTGGCGAATTAGACGTGAGCGAAAGTGCTAAGAGCAGAAAAAGGAGAGAGCGTAGAGAGAAGAAGAAAAAAGAACGACGAGAGCATTACGAAGCACCTGCAGATGAACAGCAGATGTTTGAAGTAAGATCTAGCCGAAACTAAGGTTTATTCATTGTTCGCCAAAAGGATATTCCAGTCTATTCGAAATATAATGCCTCGTGAAGAAAAGCCATTTCAACAAAATCGAACGGATATGAGCAAGTCGCGGCCTCCTATTTCTACTGCAGCCGCTTCTCAGCAACCATTAAAGGGCATTGCTAAGTGGGAAACTTTGAATAACTTGATAGGAGAATGCCGGAAAAGAAAAGTTGCAGAAGCGTATACATTGGGGTCTGCAATTTTGCAAAAGCCGAGGAGCAAGTGGAGAAAAGATCAGATTTTCGCGTTTATCATCAGGTGCTTCGTTCCATTTGGCCGTTAATTTTAATATAATCACGAGTTTGTAGCTCGCTCACCGTCCCCTACTTGATGATTTAGAACAAGAATTACCGCTGATTGTCGTTTACAAAACTGCCAATGGATCATTTAGGTTAACGCTTGTTGAGTATTGTTGGCCATAATTATAGGCGTTCTCGAAAAAAGGCCTGTAAACGTATGAAGGGACACATCATGAATGTGTTTCTTGTAGACTATTATATGCTACAGGATTATTTGTTCAAAAAATTTGGAAAACTGAAAAATTTGCAACAAAAAGCAAATGCGCTTCGTTGTTTTTTCTTCCTTACTTTCTAGGTCTGTCTCACTCTGCAAAGAGATGCGTATCGTCGTTATTTTCTAGAAATATCAAAGTGCTTGATGTATATATAGATGTGTATGTGTATGCGTATTTGTATTCGTGTATGTATGTGTAAGAATGCATGTGTGTGTGTTTGCGTTTCTCTGTCTGTCACAAAATCTCTCTTTCGTATACTAGCAATATTTATTGTAATTGTATTGCGCAGTACTGTTGGCCGTACGATTCAGAGGAGATCTGAAACGCTACAGCATTCGTTTATCATAAACGGCACTTGCCAAGCTCCTCCATGCAATCAGGCTGCAGATGTTCTGACCGACAACCTCCAATTTCTCCTTCCGCAGATATGCGCTTTCCAAGTACTTGAACGACTTGATATCAAATCGGCTCACACTGATGCCTATACTCCCGTTATTTTGACTTCCCACCCCACGTACACGGTTTATCTGTGATAAGCCCTAGCCATGCAACAGCTGGTTCTTCAATCTCTGTACCCCTTCTTCAAGTTCTTTCCTGCTCTCTGCCATCAAGACCACATAATCGCAGGAAAGTCCATAGAGATGTTTGTAGTTGTGCTCTATAACTTATATATCTCCCTACTAATCGATTCTCGTTCTCCTCCCAGGTTCCTAGCTTCCTATAAAGGCCTCCTATATATGCCTATCTCCTTTTTTTACTAGCCTTTGTTCTGTGCTTTGCCTAGTTATCCTGGCTTAATTTTAATTAATGCCATTGAAAGGTACACCCCTCCTCTTCTATCACTATATGCATTTCATCGGTCTACCACCGAATCTCCTTAACATACTGTATTCCCGTATTTTTGTGCAACTTGAAGCATCTCTGACCATCAGCTAGACACTGGTTTTAAAAGTTGAACACTGCTCTGGTTTTCCTCGTAGCTGCAGTAGAGTTGCTACCAGTTCCCCTTTGGACATAGTGTTGTCCTGCAGTTGCCACTATTTGAGGCGCTGTGTGTTGACAGTGGTTTTTCCTTCGACTATCAACTGGCCTTTGAATTCAAGAAGTGGAAGCTTGTGTTGCGGTTTGTAGCTTTATCTGGCATAATCTTAAGCTTGTTTTGCTTCCTCGCCTTGAAGTCTATTTTTCTTAACAAGGCAAAGTAAATAAAGTCTACTTTAATTAAGCACGTTATGACGTGGTAATCTTTTTAATGAATAAGTGTTTGAATAACGGATCATAAGCGGTAGTAAGCCAAGAATGCAATAGCACTCCTCTCGCAACTACTCCATTTCGCTTTTCTCAGACATGTCCCTTGAGGTCCCCTCTGAGCAGGGGTATTTCATCTTGATACTGATGTGATATGATAGCGCTTTCACCAGGAGTCCTTTTCTTTCTCTTTCCATCCAGTGCATATGCAATAACCACCTAGACAGCCTTTTTCCAATAACGATATTTACGATCATAAATCGGTGATTTGCTCCCTCAACGCCAGATATTCCGCTCTTTAGTTCTCAGAAACAATCGTTATAAAATTGTTTCTATCACTTCTCGTACCTGCAGAGAAGCTTATAACCATTGAAAGTTGGGTGACTTCACGCCTTTCCATTTCATTCTGTATGTAGGCTGCATCTACTCGTCTGCTTGAGACATCTGCCGACTTACGATGATTTGTAGTGATCCTCAGTAATCATGTCATATCGGAATCCCTGATTCCTGGCTAGTTGCTTTGGTGAGCTAGCTTTTTTACCCGTCTTGGCACATAAGGCGGTTGCTCTCGCTCACTAATCGCACCCGTCGGGCTCGTTGCGCGTCACTTTCGGGAGAAGCCCTAGCCTTTACAGTTATGATGCGACGAGGTGTTTCTCAGCCATTTTGTAGCACGCTTTTTTGAAAGAATAGACAGACTTGTGAAGTAAGAATTGTTAGGGAGTAGTCCAACTCGTGACTATCGAAAGTTTTCGATTACCAGCTTGTTGTTAAATATTTTTTGCAATTTTTCGATTACTCCGCCGCTATTGGATTAGACGTAAAACTTACTGAGTATATTAACAAAAGCATTTGTGAATTTCAGAAGATTTCGTTCCCGAAGCCCTAGAAACATTCCTTTTTTCGAGAGTTTATGATTATAGACATACTCTACAAAAAATTTGGCCCCACACCTAATGCCATCTTTAGACACTACCCCATCCGTCGCCGCAAAGTTGGCGCTTCTTCATATTTCTACGTGGACTATGGAGATCCAAAAGTGCAAGCGCATGCCTCACTCGACCATCTCGTGCGTTATTACCAGGTAAACAACTTGACTAGTATTGCTTATTCTGATTCTTTATGCATAGATTAATGCTCAAAGACATCCAAACAACCGCCAGTATGCTGATCAGTTCCCTTGGTGGGAAGTGCATCTATAGAATCCATGAATGCATTATTAATTGACTGATCGCATTTTCACCAGCTATTGTCTGTATTCTTTTTTGTGCCAACTCATTATTTTATGTCTCATATTAATGCTTCATGCATTATGGTAATAAAAATTTTCATGGGAAATATGCTATGGAAAAGTCGACAATCGGTTACACTCATGATATTTCGTCAACCCGTTTCTATGTGAAAAATCTGCATTCGTATTGTAATTATTTTGGAACAAATCAAATGGCACTTCGAGAAGCGCTTTAGTAGGTTTGTTGTGGGGACCATTCAAAGAAACACCAACTAAGCATAAGTTCAGCTTTTATGGATCATTCAAGGCTGTAAAGATTCGGAGGACTGCAGCATGCCGTGGGTCACTCAAGCCACACATTACAGCGGCAGCAGAGCGTGAGGCTGCAAAGACTTGGTGCCCCTGCATCTAGGATAGCCTAAGGAGCTTCGAATCAAATATTTAGTCATGCCCACTTCGCTTACGGACGGATCCCAAATGTTTATAATGAAAAATATAATATAATTACAATATATAATATATAACTATATAATTATAACGTATAAAATAATAATATAGCAAATTATGTAAATATAATATATAATATATAATTGTATAAAATATAAATTTGGAATTTGGGGAGAAGAGCGATCAATAGTGCTAAATAGCCATCCCGAAGTAAAAAATTTAAAATGATTTTACCTATGTATCATATACTCTCGATGAACATATTAAACACTTCTTGCATTTTGTTGAAGAGCGAACGTCATTTTTTTTTTTTTTGAAATCAAGATATTTTTGGGAATATTGGTTCTGTTGGGCTGCAGCAAAATCTGCAACTATAAGTAGGGTTGATCACTTGGAAGTGAGGAATCAATACTTGTATATTGTGCTACCAACTGCACTGACCAATATTCTGATTCCTACTTCTCTATTTTATGGGTTTTTATGTTAAGTTTCTCATATTCTCAGTGTCTTCAAAAGTTGTTGTATTTTGGGAAAATTGCGTAGAACTTCTTATGAGAGCCCATATAGTGAAGGTCCTTCTCTAATCCCATGCAAAATTTTGAATCTTTCCATTTATAACCAACGTAACCATGAGTGTGATAAGGTGAAAGACGCATTTTGACAATTTTATTACGAGAGAAATGAATGCAAAGAAAAAATACTATTTATACATAACATTGGAGCTGGAGGATATTGCTTATGGAGCCATTTCTAAGTCGATTGCGATTCTACCTCGCACATTGCATCGTAAATGCTAGGAGATTGCCAATGCAGGGAATGCTTTGATAGATGATCTGGGGTGGTAGTAATTTGACAATGAAACTGCGAGTTAACTGTTAGTTAACTGTGAGTCAATTCGCAGTT